CTCTAGCCAAGATCCATCTGACATTGGCTATGATGTCCATAATTCCCCAGCCTCTTCTAAACCCAGCTTGCATAGAAGGCAGTTCTCTGGTGATGTGCTATTCCAGTCATTTTTAGATAATCTTCAGCAGAATCTTGCTTGCATGTGATATTAGTAATAGTATTTGATAATTTCTACACATTGCTGATTCACCTCTTTTTTTTGTATAGGAATAAATATGGATCTTTTCTAATTAGTTGGTCAGATAGTTGTCCTCCAAATTTCTTCACACAACCTGGTTAGCACATCCACAGTTACATCTGGTATTCCATCAATTCCTGGGCATTGTTTTTTGCCAGTTCTTTCAGAGCATCTTGAACCTCCTGTTTCATCATCATTACCTCTTGGCCATGTGTTGTTTCATGAAATTCTTCTGCATCAGCCAGTTCTTTCTGGTACTGTGACTCTATTTACTCCATAAATATTCTTTTGAGATAAATAAATAAATATATATATATTTTACAATGCAATGAAATGGCAGTGTATTTGCATGTTGTTGATATTGCTAAGTGCCATCAAGCCCACTGTGACTTATTTTTCTCTCTTTTTCATTGCCATCTGTCAGAACCTACTCATAGCAGACCCTCCACTGAGTTTTCAGGAGGTTGCTCATTGCACAGAAGGAGATTGTCCATCTTTCTCTTGAAGAACGATTTGGTGGTTTTGAATCAACAGAGAGGTTTGACTTTTGGGTTAGTTACACAACTCTCTACCAATTGCTCCAACAAAGTAAGATAAACTAGAGAGAAATGATCTTTCCCTAGATGCAAGGATGGTGAAATATTGTCTCATGTGCATTAAGCATTTTGTCAATAGAAGCATATCCTTAGACAAAGACACCCATGCTGTGAAAGGTCAGTAAAACAGGACCTTCAAGAAATGGCTTGACAGAGGGACTTTAACAGTGGGCTCAAACATGACAGAGACTGTGAGGAGAAAATTCTGATCGGTTGTTAGCAGGATACCATGAGGTATACTAAACCTGACTCCCCCTGACAACAACCACAAAGAGAAACAACAGTTGAATACAGTGTGTGACGCTTATTTTGTTTTTGTGGTAGAAATATTAATAGAACTTTTCAAGTTGTTAGGTGCCATCAAGTTGATGCTGACTCATAGTGACTGTGTGTAAAGAGATTGAAGCCATGCCCAATTCTGGGCAATCTTCAAGATCTCTGCAAAAAATCAAAACCTTTCAGTATCTTGTGTGAGCCTCATAACCTTTATCATGTTCAACTCCTATGTTGCAATTACTATATCAATCCAGCCTGTTGAAGGTTTTCCTCTCTTTGGCTGACTCTCTACTTTTACCACCACGAGAATATCTTTTTCCAAGAACTGATCCTTCTTGACAATATGCCCAAAATATATAAAAAGAATTACTTGTATATATGTGAAGAAATAATTTTCATAATTTATACTCACTAGGAAAGTATTCATATTTTTATGACACTTTATAATTTATAGAGCAGTCTTTTATAATTTTAGAACAGCTTTAATTTAATATTGTTGCAAATATGAAAGTGATAACCAACATGTTGACTTTTAACTTCATAACACCACAAAGTCCTTTTCCAAAGACAAATGCACATTTTCTTCATTTACTCTACTCCAGCATTGGCAGTTTGCCTTGCTCCAAAAGATCTAGTGAACAAACTAGCTTACATGATAGATTCTTACTTTTAAGTAGAACCTATGCCAATTTAATGTTATTTAAAGGACTGGAACCAGTCCTGAGAAAAATGCACCTTGCTAGGGAAGGTGAATAGTCAGAGGAAGAAGAAGATCCTCACCAAGATGAACTGGTATAGTGACTTTAACAGTTAGATGGAACATATAAGAGACTGTGAAGATGACACAAGGTAGGGCACAGTTCAGACATGTTGTTCATAGGATTACTATGAGTCCAAGTTGACCCAAAGGCACCTAACAACAAGATGTTAACTTCAGTGGAATTAGTTGAAATTCAAAGTTCACTAAATTTTCTATTTGTTTGTTAGAATTATGTGGAAATTAAAATCATTTTTCTCTTTTTTAAAATATATTTTTAAAGATTGGTTTAAGTGATTAACAAAAATAAGGAATTATGGTCACTATTCACTAAAGAAAGAATATAAGATTATATTTGTTTAGAAAGAAACATGTGTTTTATGTACATGTGTATATGTTTCCATATAGTATGCAAATGTAGAGTACACAAATATAGATTCCAAATGGAAAACAATGCAAACAGAAAACCTAAATCTGCTTCACACAGCCATATGTCTACCAGGCTTTTCTTTCCACTTCCTTTCCAAAGGCTGTGCTTTTATATTTCCTAGATTTTACAATTGACAAGTGTCTGCCCTCTGCATACCTTGGAGAGCATACATCTTTGTCATTAGCGTTTCTAGAATCACAGCATCCCAACTGGGCAGAAATATAGAAAATAGTACCATAAGCATATGTTCAAGTAATACAGACTTTGTTATTTGCCCATATCTGGATTTCTAACATTAACACAAATTCTTTCCCATTGCTGGAAGATGCCTAATCTTTTTCTTGGGAATATTTTTGTAGGAAGTTTGACTGATTTGTAAGAAAAGAAAATCTTTGATTCATAAAGTACCTTCTTTTTTTTTTAACTTATGAAGATAAAACCATTTTGAAGGTAAAACAGTTTATATTAAGTTAGGATTTTATAGCAGCTCAACTGTTTTAATTGTCATAGATTGACATCGGTGATGCTCATATTTGCATGCACAATCTCTCCCCCTCCTCCCAATTTCTTTTTATAAAAATGCATTTTTGCTAGAGATGCACTGAATAGTTATGATCTTCCCTACATACAAAGATCATATTTTTTGGCAACTCAATTTAGGCATGAAAAAGAATACATTCCTTCTTTATATTCAATATATATGTTACCACAATGCATGTTCACATTTCTAAAAAACATTATTCTTTCTCAGATACACTTCACCTAACAAATTCCTTACTAGAAAAGAGTATTGCGTACTTATTAGAAATTAGAAAGCTAAATTATTAATTTCTTTTAAAAATTGATAAAAAATAATTTTCTTTGTAATTGAGGATTTTATCCTTAATATTCCTTTTTTTGCCCATTTTTTATCTCTCCTCTTTAAAATAATTAGTATTGTAAAATAGGTTTAAAATTGCTAAGAAAGGTTAGGTCTTTAATAGGCCAAATGTCATTTGTTTCTACAATTTATAACATTTTATTATTAACGACTCTAGAAGGAGAAGTTGGTCTATTTCAGTGGCGAGGACAGATTTCTGTCCATCTGTGCTCACATTCCAGCATGTCACTTGTACTTTGGATCTGCATAGCTCTAAGCTATTGCCGTTGCCATAGCAAGGTCAAGAGGTGGAGAAGGCTGTCAGCACATTCTGTCTCAGATGCTATGACAACTGCAAACTGGGGCTTCGAGCATCGCCCCAAAGCAGTCATTCTGTTGGGCCTTGGAGCTGGGCCTTTCCTAATATCATCTTGAAGGAAAATGTTAACATTAAACATTTCAAAATATCATACAAAGAACTTTGTTAATCTCAGTTTCCATAATAGAGTGGCTTATTTCTCAACAGCTTTAAAATTTAGTAAATTCCATTGTGATTTTTCTTCCTTTATTACATTCCTTAATAACTCTGTTGAAGGTAGAGAATATAGGAATCATGTAAATTCTATTTTAGTAAAAATTACTGAGAATAAGTTTGTAGTATGTTAAGATTTGGAAGCAGGAGTGGCATCCACTTCATGAACAACATACCTCTAGAAACTATGAACTTTGAGAAACGGTGATAGTTATAGAAAGGCTTCAGGTCTTTTGTTCATATGGTCACTATGAGTCTCGCTCTACTCGACAGCAATCAACAACATTAAAATTAACTTTATTATTGTTAATTACTGTGGCAATGACTCCAACATGAGGATTCATGGTGACCTCACCCATGAAGGAACAGAGTGCCGCCAGATTCTATCCCCATTGTGTAGTCCAGATAAGATAATTTTGATCCAGAGGGTTTTTGTTGATTGAACTTAAGTCACTATAAAAGGAGCAGAAGCAATGTGGATATGGCTGAGTGTGACTTCTATTAGCATCGTAAAGGGGACCCATCCATCCATCCATCAGTAATGTCCATAGCACCATACAGGTAGCTACGTGCCAGCCCACATGCTTCTGCACGTATTTTTACCAATCGTTGAGTCTGATGTTCATTTCAAGGCTCAAAAGGCTTTATTCACAGTTGTGGAGTTTATTGGGGAAATAGGTTGGAAAAAATATCACAATGGTAGTCCAGGTTTAGTTCAGCAATCCCAAACCAGATTAACAGGAAAGCCGAATTCCTCAATTAGTAAAAGTCCAGTTTCAGTTCAGAACAAATGCAAGAAGCCTTCCTCAATCATCTAGAAAACTTTATCTCAGAGCAGTAACAAGTCAACTTTTCCGTCAATCATACAGCAAGCACAACTTTTTTAACTGTGGTGTTTTTCTCCAGGGTTCTTCAGGTTGCACCTTGCCACAGTCTCTTCACAGTGGTTCCACTATCTCTTCATCCACTCTCTACCACCATCACCATCTTTTTTTCACAACATTGAAAGCATTATCTTATATTGGCCCCACAGCGATTGATGATTTACAAAACCATGTGTTTGCAGTTAAGGTAGCTGGAGATCATGTCCCCAGTGGGGACTAACACAATGGCTAAACAGGCCAATTTTCAAGGGTTGTGACACCCCAGTCACCAAGCTTTTCTTTCTGGTTTGCTTTAGGTTTCTAGCTCCATTCAAATGTATTGAGCATCATAACCACATGCAGGCCTCCACTGACAAACAGATACAGGCTGCACAGGAGATGCCTTGTTCCAGAATACTCTTCATTAATGCATGTTAAAATTAAAACACCCTGCTACTTAAAAAAAAAAATCTCAGTTCTCTTAATGTGCATTCTTTTTCCAAACAGTGCCTATCAGATTGTTGTGGAAGAGTTACACCCACACCGAACCAAGAGAGAAGCTGGAGCAATGGAATGCTACCAGGTTCCTGTTACATACCAGAATGCTATGAGTGGGGGTGCACCATACTACTTTGCTGCAGAATTGCCTCCAGGGAATTTACCTGAACCTGCCCCCTTCACAGTGGGGGACAATAGGACCTACCAGGGATTTTGGAATCCACCCTTAGCTCCACGCAAAGGATACAACATCTATTTCCAGGCAATGAGCAGTGTAGAGAAGGTAAGTTTCCACCAGCATTTGTTCTGGGTTTTTGGTTTGTGTTGGGTTATTATTATTATTATTATCATTAATTATATTGATTTGCATAGAAGATTCATATACATTTGGCTTCATTTTTTATACTGTGCTTCATATATTTCTTCATTTACATTGTGTTGCATACAATCATTTATATACATTATGTTTTATAAAATGAATGGCCATTGAGCTATGCCTACCACTAGTCCATCTTTTCAGGTCTGCTTTCATTCCTTCCTCCTTCACTCCTCCACCAACCAAACTCGAGAATCTTAGTGATTTCCCCTCTTTTAACCCCTTGGCCTTCATTCTTCCTCTTTTCAACTTCTTCACATATCTTACTAGTTGTCTCTCTATTTTTACAATAATAGTTTTATATTGTACTTTCCTTATGATACTGAATTCACTTACTATTACTCTGAGGAAAAACTGAGGTCAAATTATATACAGTATTTGTCTAAAAAGGGGGGAAATGTTACATAGGGTTCATTATTTCTGTTTCCAGCAGTACCCATTGTTTTAGAGTCAACTATGAGAAAGATGAATCATCTTCTCTACAATTTACTGCCTCTGAAAATTCAGTAGATGGTCAGCTACGAGTCAGTTCTGTCTCAGTGACACACAAAATGATACGAGTCATTTCCGACTCAACAGCAATGAGAAATCTTTATAGAACAGTGTTCATTGGCCTGTGCCAAGAAATCTGGTGACAGCCAGCTGGAGGATGTCCTTGTTTTTCCTCATTCTAGAGAACAGTAATTCTGTTATCAAACAAATGATTAATAAGACATGCAAGTAAAATGTTCTGAAGATAACTCAGAAACAGCTGCAGTGGTACATCAAAAGAAAATAGCCCAACATTTAAACCAGGTTTAAGAGATAATTTGGAATAAGCTCTGTCACTTCGAATGCCAGATGGATTTTGCCTGAAATCAAAACTACCAGAAATATATATGTCTCTTTTTTCCTGATAATGTAAATTATATGACTATTTGGGCCATTACAAATTATTTCTAATAGAAATGCCAGAATAGTTAATAGGCTCATGTAGAAAAACCTGAACATAGAGCAAAAGACATTCATTTGAAAAAAGCAAGAGAGTATTGTGTGCTTTGGGATTGAGAAGAGAGTGCAACTGAACTCTCTCCTTTCACAATTATTCTGTCTGCTGAGCAAATAATCTAAGAAGCTGGACTGTATGAAGAAGAATATGACATTAAGAGTACAGTAAGGTTCATTAACAACCTGAAATATACAGATTACAAAACCTTCCTTGCTGAATGAAGATCAAAAAAAGCACTGACTGAAGAAAATCAAAGATGACAGTATTCAGTTTAAATTAGACATCAACATAAAGAAAACCAAAATCCTCACTATGAGAACAATAAGCAGTAGCATCATAAATGTGGGAGAAAACTGAAGCCTTTATAATTTCTTTTTATTATGGCATATCTATACCTGTGGAAACAAGTCAAGAATTAACATTACATTGATAAATCTACTTTACAAGACCATTTTAACAAGGAAAGACTTTTCACAAAGGAAGATAATTGGATGGTCAACAGACACATGAAGAAATGCTCTAAATCACTGACAGTAAATGAGATGCAAATCAAAATCACAGTAAGATACCATCTCATCCCAGTAGCAGTGGCAAACTTTAATAGGACAACAAACAATAAATGTTGGAGAAGATGTGGAGAAATAGGAACTCTCATAGCCAGTTGGTGGGATTGTAAAATGGTACAACCAATCTGGAAGGCAATTTGGCGCTTCCTCAAAAAAGCTGAACATAGACATTATCTATAACCCAGCAATTCTACTGGCTTGGACATTGAGGAAATGAGAACCGGGGCACAAATGGAGATTTGTGCATCAATGTTCATAACAGTGTTATTCACCATTGCAAGAACATGGAAATAGCCCAAATGTCCAACTATATTCAAATGGATTGAGAAAATATGGTACATTCACATGATGGAATACTATGTAGCATGCAGAAACAATGATTTTGTAAATCTCTATCTAGCGTGAGAGGGACTGAACAGCATTATGCTAAGTGAGATAACTCAGTCCCAAAAGGAAAAATAAGGTATAAGACCATTACTGTAGAAATATATAAGTAGTAAAACATGTATGCGGACCTAAGCGGCGGGGAGGGTAGGAGCAGAAGAGTAAGAATTGGCTTGGCAGGTAATCACAGGGTCACACAATTTGATGGGTAAAGGGGTGGTTAAAGGAAAAGGGAACAATTTGTTATGGAAAAAAATGTATACAAATTTTATAAGTAAGCCAGTATAAAAGTAATTTTAAGTGACCTCTTTAAAATGTTTAAAATAATAGATTTCATTTTGAAGACTAAAGTACTCCTGGCCTAAGCCAGTCTTTTATGCATTGGAAATTATAGAATCAATATGTAACAACAAAGAATTGATGCCTTTGAATTATGATGTTGAAGATAATTCCATGCCCTGTGGACTGCCAGGAATATGAAGAAATTTGTCCTGGAAAAAGTGCAACCCGAATGTTTCCCAGATGCATAGATAGGCTTCGTCTCGTGTAATGTGGGTATGTTATCAAAAAGAATTAGTCACTGGATAAAAAGATAATGTTTGTTAAACAGAAGGTCAGTGAAAAGGTGGAAAATGTTCAAAGAGATGAATAGACACAGTGACTCAACATGGGCTTAAACACCTCAGGAGCTGAGAGGATGGCTTAATGCTGCACGGTGCTTCATTCTATTGTAGTTTTCTGAGTCAAAACTATATGGAGTTCGACCTAATATGAGCACAGTGGCTCCAGCTCCTTTATGTTTTCCGGGATTCATGATTTCTAGTTACTGCTTCTGCTTGAGCCTTCTATATAGATAAAGCAACAACAGTTTCGAGTTAAGTGATCTCAGAAGATGGGTGTGCAACACCCAGGACTTTCACCCCCTGTAAACAAACATTTAGGCATTTTTTTCTGACTTCACTCGGGCGTGGTCCACTTCAAAAGACTGAATTTACTGCAGGATAAGCAAAATACTTGTTCCACAGTAGGCTAATGAATCCTTATAAACTTTTCCGGGGGTACAAGTCAGATAGTAAATAACAAGTAACAATCCACTGATTAGAGAAATAGGGTGCCTGTGGCATACGGGACAGAACGTAAACAGAGGCCACCCAGAGGTAGCTGGATGCTGCGCAGTTAGACTCAACTCTCCATGTCGCTGGCAGCCCCTCCTTTTCCCATTTTGGACACAGCTGTCTTTGAACACAGCCGCTGATCCCAAATGAATATTGAAGAGGAGAGCACAACAGGAAGTTAGAAACCAACCCTGGTTCCATTTGTGGGGGAACAACCTGTCCTTTCATGCCTCATGCGGTTTCCTTTTAGAGATTTTTCTTCTCTTAAACTTGTTTATTTTCTGTTTTTTTTTTTAACAGTTCAGTGGATGGAAATGTTGATAGAGATTTCCACAATTTAAAATTCAATCACAAAATGGTATTTTGAACCCTTGTAACTACATAGGAAAGGAACCCTGGTGGCTTAGTGGTTGAGTGCTTAACTGCCAAAAAGAAGGTTAGTGGTTCGAACCCCCAGCTACACTAAGGGAGAAAGATGTGGGTGTCTACTTCTGTAAACATTTCAACCTTGGAAATGTTGCAGGGCATTTTCACTCTGTCCCACAGCATAGCCACTGTGTGAGGTTTTGTGTAATCGGGTCACTGAGTTAGAAATCTGGGGGATGATGTTGAATTAATGTCATAGACTGGCATTTCATCATCTCATTTCACCATTGCTGTTGGAACCCGTTCATAGCTGGCCCTCTGACAAAATTTCAAGAGGCTGAAAATTGTATGGGAAGAGATTGCCTGTCTTTTCTTCCTGTGGAGCCACTGGTGCGTTCTAAACACTGAGAGGCGAGGAGTCGCCTTTGGGTTAACAGTGCCACTCCCCACAGACTACGCCGCCCATTCTCCATGTGTGGTTGCAGTTGTTATTATCCAGTTGTCCATATAGATCATGTTATACTTGTTGTTGTTGTTATGTGCTGTCGAGTTGCTTGCAACTCATAGCGACCCAATGTAAAACAGCCCTAAACTCTGCTCTGTCCTGTGCCAATCGCACTGTCTCTGACATTACCAACCCAATTACCCTAGTCACTGAATCAATCCACCTCATAGAGGGCCTTCCCCTCCTGCACTGTCCTTCCACCCTCCCAATCATGATGTCCCATTCCAAGGACCAGTCTCTCCTTACAACATGTCCAAAGTGTGTCAGATGGAGCCTCAGAATCCTTGCCTCCAAAGAGCCACCCAGTTTAACCCTTTCCAGGGTGAATCTGTTTGTTTTCCTAGCAGTCCATGGTACTCTCAATACTCTTCTCCAGCACCACAGCTCAAAGGCATCAATTCTCCTTCTATCCTCCTTGGTCATTGTCCAACACTCTGATGCATAACAAATGATTGCAAAGACCATGGCCTGTATCAGATGCACCTTAATCTCCAGAGTGACACCATTGCTCTTCAGTACTTTGGAGAGTTCCCTAACAGCAGACTTTCCCATGGCAATATGCCTTTTAATTTCCTGGCTGCTAGTGCCAAGAGTGTTGACTGTGGAGCCAAGCAAACTAAAGCTGTGAACAATCTCAATCTCTTCACCATCCATCCTGATGCTGCCAATTGGTCCAGTGGTGAGAATCTTTGTCTTCTTGACATTGAGCCTCAATCCATATTGGAGTCTACGGTCCTTGACCCTCTGCAGCAGGCGCTTCAGGTCCTCCTCAGTTTCAGCAAGCAGGGTTGTATCATCTGCATAACACAGATTGTTGATAGACCTTCTACCAATCTTGACCCCACATTTCTCCTCATAGAGCCCAGCCCCCCAGATAATCTGTTCTGCATACAGGTTGAAAAGGTATAGAGATAAGATACACCCGGGCATACACCCCCTTCCCAATTTTGAACCATGCAGTGTTCCCTTTCTCTGTTCTGACG